GGAAAGGAGCAGTTCCTGGATTTGAGAGCTGACCCGGCTAACTTTGGAGCTCTCACCTCTTCTCTTTCTGTTGGGGTGGAGGGCGAGGATGTTCTAGCTAGAATTCATAGCGAGAAAAACCAAGGCCGTAACTAATGAGTTTTCTGGTGAACGAAGAACAACGTGTGAGAAAAGACGAAAACTGAAATTTTTTCATGCGCCATTTTTAAAGTTGATTTTTTAATGTTTTCATTTTGCGTATTTTATGACATTGAATTCTGCTTTTAAACACCGAAATTTATTGCAGTTCATTATTCTTTGTTGACTTGAAATTTCCGATAATTACGGTTAATTTACGTGTGAAATGAAATATTGTCAATCAGCCAGCTACGCAAAACCGATCTGCCTCAGAACCAAAATGAGGCAGAAATATGGTCCGCCGACCCGGACAGGAGCAGTTCCTGGATTTGAGAGCTGACCCGGCTAACCTTGGAGCTCTCACCTCTTCTCTTTCTGTTGGGGGGTGAGGATGTTCTCGCTAGAATTCATAGCGAGAAAAACCAAGGCCGTAACTAATGAGTTTTCTGGTGAACGAAGAACAACGTGTGAGAAAAGACGAAAACTGAAATTTTTTCATGCGCCATTTTTAAAGTTGACGACTTTTTAAAGTTTTCATTTTGCGTTTTTTATGACATTGAATTCTGCTTTTAAATACCAAAATTTATGGCAGTTCATGATTCTTTGTTGACTTGTAATTTCCGATAATTACGGTTAATTTACGTGTGAAATGAAATGTTGTCAATCAGCCAGCTACCCGGAACCGATCTTCCTCAGAACCGAAACGAGGCAGAAATATAGTCCGCCGACCCGGAAAGGAGCAGTTCCTGGATTTGAGAGCTGACCCGGCTAACTTTGGAGCTCTCACCTCTTCTCTTTCTGTTGGGGTGGAGGGCGAGGATGTTCTAGCTAGAATTCATAGCGAGAAAAACCAAGGCCGTAAATAATGAGTCTTCTGGTGAACGAAGAACAGTGTGTGAGAGAAGACAAAAACTGAAAGTTGTTCATGCGCCATTTTTAAAGTTGATTTTTTAATGTTTTCATTTTCCGTATTTTATGACATTGAATTCTGCTTTTAAACGCCGAAATTTATTGTAGTTCATTATTCTTTGTTGACTTGAAATTTCCGATAATTACGGTTAATTTACGTGTGAAATGAAATGTTGTCAATCAGCCACCTACGCAAAACCGATCTGCCTCAGAACCAAAATGAGGCAGAAATATGGTACGCCGACCCGGACAGGAGCAGTTCATGGATTTGAGAGCTGACCCGGCTAACCTTGGAGCTCTCACCTCTTGGCTTTCTGTTCGGGTGGAGGGCGAGGATGTTCTAGCTAGAATTCATAGCGAGAAAAACCAAGGCCGTAACTAATGAGTTTTTTGGTTAACGAAGAACAGTGTGTGAGAGAAGAAGAAAACTGAAAGTTATTCATGCGCCATTTTTAAAGTTGACTTTTAATGTTTTCTTTTTGCGTATTTTTCGACAGTGAGTTCTGCTTTTAAATACCAAAATTTATGGCAGTTCGTTATTCTTTGTTGACTTGTAATTTCCGATAATTACGGTTAATTTACGTGTGAAATGAAATGTTGTCAATCAACCAGCTACGCAAAACTGATCTGCTTCAGAACCGAAACGAGGCAGAAATATGGTGCGCCGACCCGGACAGGAGCAGTTCCTGGATTTGAGAGCTGACCCGGCTAACTTTGGAGCTCTCACCTCTTCTCTTTCTGTTGGGGCGGAGGGCGAGGATGTTCTAGCTAGAATTCATAGCGAGAAAAACGAAGGCCGTAACTAATGAGTTTTTTGGTTAACGAAGATCAGTGTGTGAGAGAAGAAGAAAACTGAAAGTTGTTCATGCGCCATTTTTAAAGTTGACTTTTCATTGTTTTCAATTTGCGTATTTTATGACATTGAATTTTGCTTTTAAATGCCAAAATTTATGGCAGTTCGTTATTTTTTGTTGACTTGTAATTTCCGATAATTACGGTTAATTTCTGTGTAAAATGAAATGTTGTCAATCAGCCAGCTACGCAAAACTGATCTGCTTCAGAACCGAAACGAGGCAGAAATATGGTGCGCCGACCCGGACAGGAGCAGTTCCTGGATTTGAGAGCTGACCCGGCTAACTTTGGAGCTCTCACCTCTTCTCTTTCTGTTGAGGTGGAGGGCGAGGATGTTCTAGCTAGAATTCATAGCGAGAAAAACCAAGGCCGTAACTAATGAGTTTTTTGGTTAACGAAGAACAGTGTGTGAGAGAAGAAGAAAACTGAAAGTTATTCATGCGCCATTTTTAAAGTTGACTTTTCATTGTTTTCAATTTGCGTATTTTATGACATTGAATTCTGCTTTTAAATGCCAAAATTTATGGCAGTTCGTTATTTTTTGTTGACTTGTAATTTTCGATAATTAAGGTTAATTTCTGTGTAAAATGAAATGTTGTCAATCAGCCAGCTACTCGAAACCAATCTGCCTCAGAACCGAAACGAGGCAGAAATATGGTCCGCCGACCCGGACAGGATCAGTTCCTGGATTTGAGAGCTGACCCGGCTAACCTTGGAGCTCTCACCTCTTCTCTTTCTGTTGGGTGGGGGGGGGGAGGATGTTCTCGCTAGAATTCATAGCGAGAAAAACCAAGGCCGTAGCTAATGAGTTTTCTGGTGAACAAAGAACAACGTGTGAGAAAAGACAAAAACTGAAAGTTTTTCATGCGCCATTTTTAAAGTTGACTTTTTAAAGTTTTCTTTTTGCGTTTTTTTTGACATTGAATTCTGCTTTTAAATACCAAAATTTATGGCAGTTCATGATTCTTTGTTGAATTGTAATTTCCGATAATTACGGTTAATTTACGTGTGAAAAGAAATGTTGTCAATCAGCCAGCTACCCGAAACCGATCTGCCTCAGAACCGAAACGAGGCAGAAATATGGTCCGTCGACCCGGATAGGAGCACTTCCTGGATTTGAGAGCTGACCCGGCTAACCTTGGAGCTCTCACCTCTTCTCTTTCTGTTGGGGGGGGGCGAGGATGTTCTCGCTAGAATTCATAGCGAGAAAAACCAAGGCCGTAACTAATGAGTTTTCTGGTGAACGAAGAACAGTGTGTGAGAGAAGACAAAAACTGAAAGTTGTTCATGCGCCATTTTTAAAGTTGACTTTTTAATGTTTTCATTTTGCGTGTTTTATGGCATTGAATTCTGCTTTTAAATACCGAAATTTATGGCAGTTCGTTATTCTTTGTTGACTTGTAATTTCCGATAATTACGGTTAATTTACGTGTGAAATGAAATGTTGTCAATCAGCCAGCTACCCGAAACCGATCTGCCTCAGAACCGAAACGAGGCAGAAATATGGTCCGCCGACCCGAACAGGAGCAGTTCCTGGATTTGAGAGCTGACCCGGCTAACCTTGGAGCTCTCACCTCTTCTCTTTCTGTTGGGGGTGAGGATGTTCTCGCTAGAATTCATAGCGAGAAAAACCAAGGCCGTAACTAATGAGTTTTCTGGTGAACGAAGAACAACGTGTGAGAAAAGAGGAAAACTGAAATTTTTTCATGCGCCATTTTTAAAGTTGACTTTTTAAAGTTTTCATTTTGCGTTTTTTATGACCTTGAATTCTGCTTTTAAATACCGAAATTTATGGCAGTTCGTGATTCTTTGTTGACTTGTAATTTCCGATAATTACGGTTAATTTACGTGTGAAATGAAATGTTGTCAATCAGCCAGCAACCCGAAACCGATCTGCCTCAGAACCGAAACGAGGCAGAAATATGGTCCGCCGACCCGAACAGGAGCAGTTCCTGGATTTGAGAGCTGACCCGGCTAACCTTGGAGCTCTCACCTCTTCTCTTTCTGTTGGGTCGGAGGGCGAGGATGTTCTAGCTAGAATTCATAGCGAGAAAAACCAAGGCCGTAACTAATGAGTTTTCTGGTGAACGAAGAACAGTGTGTGAGAGAAGACGAAAACTGAAAATTGTTCATGCGCCATTTTTAAAGTTGACTTTTTAATGTTTTCTTTTTGCGTATTTTATGACATTGAATTCTGCTTTTTATATACCAAAATTTATGGCAGTTCGTTATTCTTTGTTGACTTGTAATTTCCGATAATTACGGTTAATTTACGTGTGAATTGAAATGTTGTCAATCAGCCAGCTACCCGAAACCGATCTGCCTCAGAACCGAAATGAGGTAGAAATATGGTCCGCCGACCCGGATAGGAGCACTTCCTGGATTTGAGAGCTGACCCGGCTAACCTTGGAGCTCTCACCTCTTCTCTTTCTGTTGGGGGGGGGGGGGCGAGGATGTTCTAGCTAGAATTCATAGAGAGAAAAACCAGGGCCGTAACTAAGAGTTTTCTGGTGAACGAAGAACAGTGTGTGAGAGAAGACAAAAACTGAAAGTTGTTCATGCGCCATTTTTAAAGTTGACTTTTTAATGTTTTCCTTTTGCGTATTTTTTGACATTGAATTCTGCTTTTAAATACCGAAATTTATGGCAGTTCATTTTTTTGTTGACTTGTAATTTTTGATAATTACGGTTAATTTACGTGTGAAATGAAATGTTGTCAATCAGCCAGCTACCCGAAACCGATCTGCCTCAGAACCGAAACGAGGCAGAAAGAAAGGTTTGCAACTTATTTCGCCTTATGTGATTTAATTGGCACACTTTAATAAACTTCAATTAATCAGAAGATAGTTATATCTCTGTATTCATAATTTGACGCTTTAGAGTTTGGTCGCAATGCGGAATAACTAACACGATCCAAAAGATGGTTTTAGCTGAAAACTACGTTGATTTTAGAATTGAAACTGGTATAGACTCCACAATAACTGTAAATGTTCACCGTTTCGACAGATTGCTATAAAGCAAAACACCATGGTTTTTTCTGTTACCCGGGATAGTTTTTGCTGAACCCCATACATTTTAAATATCTGTTTTCGAAGCTAAGTTTTTCTTCTGGCCACACTCACTCTGGGTTGATGATGTCCGTGGCTTTGGCCTTGAGATTCTCCAGCAGTTTTCCCTTGCTCACGTTCAGTTTTTTAGAGCCGTCCGGTAGCCAATCAAAATCCAGGTAGCTGAATAAAATAATTTATCAGAATAAAAATATTTTATCAGAATATTTTATCAAAAAAACTTCAGCACTTTTTGCTAAAACAACATCATTTTTTAAAATCAGGTGGGGTTTTTCGTTTTTATTAAAAGTTCAATGCTGTTGAAACACTTTTAATATTTTCTATTACTGAGGAACAAGACAAATACGTTCAAATATGCTATTGGGATTTAATTGTTAGACCACGAATAATAATCAACTTCTTTAGAATAATAATTTTAAAAAAAACGGATACTTTACTGCACTAACTTTGTCATGGCTGGGTTGCCATAAGCTAGCTTCTCAATTCCCTTCAGCTTGCGCGTGAACAAAATGCATCGGTCTCTATTTTTCTCATTCTCCTGGTCTATGAAGGCGCATTTCAGCTCTGCTTCTGTAACTGACTTCTCGTAAAACAATGCCTGAAATAGCCAAAATTTACAAAAATAAGCAGCAAGTACAAGAACGGCATAATTCAAGGAGCACCCAATTACCCAGATAACCAACCCCCTCCCCTCGCCAACCAAGGGTTCCTCTTTTTCAAGTTTTTCACCTTTATTTCACTCAATCTATTTACATTCTATAATTATTCTTATGTACAGACTTCGTGAGTTGACGCGAATCTGAAATGAGCTTAACGATGTAACAAAAAGATCCTTTCGTGAATCAGCTCTTTCAGATTACTTTTTTCACTAGGCTGAGCAATTTGATTTAACACACTACAATTACATTTTGGCCAACTAGCTCTGAAAGTTTTAGGGGCCAATATTTGTTTGTTTTTTGATGAGAAATTTTCGTTCTATTCTGTTTAAAAACAAAACTATTTGCGACACTTCAGGGATTCGGCCAAATGACCACCAAAAAGGTCCCATTAGAGTACTATTGACGATGCCATCAATTTTGGTCAACCAACACCAAACATTTTTCTGAAGGCGCCGTGGGCGCCAATTTACACTAAACTTGAGTGGGAAACGTGCGCACAAAGCATGTTTTTGGTTTAAAAAAAGGTCAACGCGGCGCCGAATTTTTACCCGAAGTAATCGAGAGGACTGAAATGACATTGACCAAGTTTAATCTATCATTTCTAGATAAATTATAAACACCAAAACAACATTTTGGACGCGCCTGTCTCCTCTCTCGCTTAAGGCATAATAAGAAAATCGGCAGTTTTGTGGCTTGTACGCGGTAGTCGATGTAGTTCTTGATTGTTCATATAAATTTCCAAACCAACCCTGTTTTCGTAAACATAGCCAACAGACAGTTGGAAATGAGCCAAGGAACGCAAGGAAACACAAAAACACACTGACTTGTCTAATGAAAAAACTTCAAGCTTCAAATTTAAAAAATGCTATTAAAGCTTTTTGAGTTTTAAGAACAATTTATAGTAAAAGTAAGTCAATTTGAGAAAACTGGGTCAATTGGTAAAATATTCAGTCCACTGGGAGTTCTGAAAACTAAAATTCACTTTTAAAAATAGATTTCGATCACCTTTTTGTGACCTTAACTTTTTTTCTGTTAAATTGAGGAGCTTGATTTCCTTTGTTAAAGCAAAAAATCTGAATTTAAAAAAATCAATCTTAAATTTGAATTCGCATTCAAAGATCAATTCGCAAAAAATCTGAATTGAATCTGCAGAAAAATTAAATCTGAGACAAAATATCAAATTTTTGACAGTCTCAGGCAATTTGGTAGCCTCTTATCCATACTTAGGTCTTATATTGAAACCAATCAGCTTGCAGCCGTAGTTCAGCATTGCAAATTTTAAGTTAGTTCACTTAAAAAGTAAACAGTAAACTGCTTAAACATGTCGTAAACAAAGTATGCATAACTACCAGGTTTTGCAGCCCGCTTTCATTAACCAATTTAAATTTAAAATATTTTCTGTCGTTTTCGGCCTCTGCCCTTGTGTTCATTTGAAACAAAAGCAGTGTATTCATTTGAAAATAAATTTTGTAAGAAAAATACAAAAGCAATTTCAATTTAATCTTTAAAGTCTTTGCTTATTGTTCCTTTTTTGGATGGAAATAACAAAATGTTTGTACTCGGGTGGTTCTTTTTCTCAAGACAACTTCCAATTGTTCAGTAGCGATTTTTGGCGGAAACTTTGATACAGACTGAAAAATTTTGATGCCCTAGCGCAAGAAAAATATTTTGCTCACTTTTTGTAAAGTTATGAGGGTTTGAAAATTGAGAACTTGGCCAACTTAGGATAATCAATGCATTTCAAATCTTTCGCAGAAAATGATTGGTGAATTTTTTTTTGTATTTCTCATTTTTGGTTGCGCTGGGGCAAAGTAGTCTCTCTCTAAGCCTTGTGGTATAGTATAAACGGCCTGCAATGATGTCGGAGAGAATCTGTCGACAATCGAATTGATAGTTTTCATGAACAATGTTTTGTCTTTCTTGCGAATAAGATCTCTTAGAGGTAGAGAGTTTTGAATAATGCCAATTATCTTTGAGTCTGTTTCTTTGTGAGATAGTTTGGATAGTTTGGATAGTAAGAGACCAAGTTTAATTTGGTAAGCCCTAGGCTTTTCAATTTGAGCAGTACATAAATTTTCGTTTAATTTTTAAAAACAATTTTAAGGATATGAGGCTCGAACGAAAATTAAATGCTGATTTATATACTCAATCATTTTAACTCTTTTTCCAATTTATTTTCTGACACAGTGGAAATTTTTGGATTTCTTAAGATAGAGACACGTATTTTATTTTGGCTTCGGGTTATTCAGAATGAAGTTGTTTTCACTGCATCATAAATTTATTTGGCTAAAAAATGACTGCGTTTTGTTTACGCTGTTTTTTCCTCCAAACATTGGTTGTTGTCATTGGTAAGTTTTACCGGAACGTAATGTTTAGCTTTGGGACTTTGATAGCTGTAAGCCGCATTAAAACCAATTGGTCCTAAAACCGTGCGTTGCGGTAATCCACTAATGGTTTGCAGCATCGTGGTAATCTCCCCATTTGTTGCGAGTTGCCCATTCGCAAAAAAATCTGCCGAGATGATTTATAAATGAAGGAAAAGTAATTGAGTTGTAACACATGAGTTGAAAACTGGCTAATTGATAGAAAAAAAATGCACAAGAATTACATCACTTGATTTGGAATTTGTCAATGCAAGTGACGGGAGAGACGTTTACAAGAGGAAAAAATTTTCATAAAAAAGTTCTAATACTCTATAGAGCAGCCAAAAAATAACGTTTCCCTCTGATGCGAGCACTTTTGTTAATTTTTATTTTCTCTACGAAGACGTGAACAATAAAATAGATGTCAAATTTTAATACTTCTAAAAAATCACTTAATTTGGATTCTTTCTAAGTCCATCCACAAAATATTTCAAAATTATAGCAAGCATTGCTTAGTACACTTTTTTTCCCGACCAAGTTTCTATGTGAAAACTTTTGTCAAAATTAGAAAAAAATTGACAAAATACCACAGGATTAGGGGTCTTAGTGTTTTTTTTTGACGGCCAAAAAATTACACGAGGAAACTTCACAGTCCAAAATTTTAAAACTAAATCAATTTCACTTTGTGTTAATGTTGTCGATTGATGTGACAAAGGTAGTTATCAAGAGTTGTTTTGGTTGAAATCGATAGGATCGGTAATTTTCCTTAAACTAAAATTCAGTGTTTGTAGTTACATATGTACGAAAAAACTATAATATTAGAAAAAATTGTCAGGAATAATTCGTTCTTATGTTTTCGTTTTTGCTGTTCAAAAATTGTTCACACGGCATTTTGCATGTAAATAATGCTGTATAAATTTGTTCTTATGTTCACGCTGAGACGTTTTGATGAAGTTTGTAACCTGAAAAGCAATTCTAAATAGACTTTCAAATATTGAACTGCAGAAAAAATCATTGGGAAACTGGAAAAGAGCCGGTTGGTTAAAAATCAGAGAACCAATCAAGGCTGACACACTTTGGCAGTTGTTTCAAATTCCAACAAATATAAACAAAATAACCATGAAAACAGAAGTAAATTTTATTCATTTCAACTTCTTCGGATCAAGATATGTTGTAGTTTTTTTCTTTGAGCTCACACTTAGAGTTTTAGTTGGCGGTAATTTGTGTGTACGCTAAGGTTTTCCGGAAGATTTGTTGAAATAGTATATTCGTATGTAGTGTTTCATAGGTTTCCGGGCTCTATATAATCGTTAAATACTAGCATATATCAAAATCTATGAATTGTCAGCAATCTACCGTTCATTTTTATTGTCTGGACTACTCTCTGAATCAATCTTTTTGCTCGTGGGTGGCAGATCAGAGATTGCCTTTTTAATCACTTTGATTTGCATCAAATTTTGATTTGATCGCTACCGTACTCGGGTTCATTGACGCTACCAAGCATGGTCTGATCACTGACAGATTTTTCTTAGCTGATTTAATAGTTGTTATTTTTTGCGAAAACTTCCATCAAGCCACTTCAATTGTCAAAAGCAACCAAAATTTTGCTTGGTCTTTGATATGGGCTCAGTTCATATGATTTTTTCCGTACCTCTGCTTCCAGTCGCTTGGAGACTCTTTTTCTAGTGATGGTCTAATTTTCCGAAAAATCTCATTTTTTTATGATAAATTTTTCTGCGCCTTGAGACATGTTATGTCAAAAGGCCATCGTTCAAAAAGCAGTTTCTTCTCGCTGTTTTCCTTGAAGCAGCTTCTGAGCATCGTCTCTCATTTGCTTTCTGAATTGCGGCTCAACTAAAGATATCAGAAATCGGTCTTTAAATTTTTTCATGATTTCATTTCCAGTTTCAATCGTGATTCATTTTTACTGCTTAATTTCCAATTATCGCTCTTCATGTGTTTTCGGACGTCCTGAGCTTACCAAATTTTCGGACGTCCTGAGCTTCTGTGTTTGCGAAAAAATTGGTTCAAAGAAGAAAATTATCTCCTGAGCACTAATAAAACACTGAGAGCATTTGCATGCTGTAAATGCTCTGATGACATAGTTAAATTTGTAATCAGCGCAAATGCTCATCTGGTTATTCTTGCTGTCATTTCTGATTTTTTTCTAATGCGTGAGTTTTCGCCCGAATCAGAATTGCATCAGTCTTTTCACCACAGGCACTGATGACAAACTTTTTGTTCTATCTTGGAAAGGTCCGTAGAGCATCTTCCTGGCAAAGAGCAGTATCCGTTGTCAACAAAACTTTGCCAGTTTATAAAATGTCTGAAATTCTCACTAGGTGACTCACAAGTATCATGTAACCTCGATTTTTTATCATACGTCAGGCTTCTGGCAGCGTAACTATCATACGACAGGCTTCTGGCAGCGGAACTATCATACGACAGGCTTCTGGCAGCGGAAACTGATAATTCAAAAATGAACATTTGTAAGTGGTTTTCAGTTTAGCTATGCTTTATTGATAGTGAAATGTTTTTCTCAAATTATGTTCTGCTACTTTGATGTTCCATAGGCAAGTTGTTTTTTTTGGCAAAGATGATCACCTCTTTAAGTTTTTGAGAATGTTCTGGATGCAGTTTGAAATTCCTGCAAGAATTCTCGTACCATTGGGGTGAAGTTTGTGGTCGCCGCATATTGTGAAGTCGCCGATTTTCTGGTGTGCCACACTTATCGGAATAGATTGGTAACTCTTCCGGGCAGCACTGATCCGAGCACACCTTTTCTGATCATCATCTCGTATACAATCAATTTCACTGTCTTTTGCATTGAATACGGAAAACTGCGTGTTTTGCCAGAAAAAATTGCGAGCACCGGGCTTTTGCTTTTTTTAGGCATTCCAATTGTGACCGTTGCTAAGGTCCGTTATATCCCATGTATCTAGTTCTGGGTGGTCAGCAGATCCCGTCCATGGAATCTGAAATCCTTGCTTTGTCGTACAGCTGTTGAACGTTCCATGACAAATCACACACAGCTGATAACACTTTTGTTGCCACTTGATCTTAAAGAACTCAGAAAGTTTCTGTGCTTCATCGCCGAACTGTAGGACAGCTTGCTTATCAGCTAGAGTTTTGTCTGCCTTAACTCTCCTTCAACATTATTTCAAGCTGAAGTTTCACGCTATATTTTGTTTGCAACCCGAATGTATGAAAATTAGTCAAATTCATTTTGTATTAAAATTTCAATTATGTTGTCAATTGAGTTGTTAATTAAGTTGTCAAATAGTGTCAGTTTTTGGTCATATATCGGCATGCTGTTCATGTCTGATATAAAATATTGTTTGTTTTTGTTATTTAAGTTAGCAATGCACTGGTAGTTAGAGTTTTGTGTTCTAACCCGAATCCAGTTTCAAGCGTTAATAATCGATTATATGATGATTTTAGTACCAGTCTTACTAAAAATGAGAAAAAAAATTGATTTTATTCAATTATGAATTGATTATACTCTTGCTTTTTGAAATCCAAGTATAATCAATCATAATGCATTTTAATCAATTATAATCGATTGTTGACCCATCTATTTTTGATACAAATAAAATCTATTATTTTTATCCCAGTTTCTAATTCATTCAAAATTCTGACAAAATAGGAGATTATAATCAATTTTAATCGATTATAATTGATTAAAAGAGTTTTTTGAATGAACTTTAATCAATTATAATCGGTTATAATATATTATAATCTCTTGAAAACTATCCCGATTATAATCTTTTAAATACCTAATTTTGGTAATTATAATCAATTACAATTGTCAAAAAATCATCATAATTATCTGTTATAATCAATTGCTTACGCCTAAGCTTAGATGCGGGAATACTTCTGAAAGTTTTACGCACTTCTGATGTTTGTACAGCTATGCGAGTTAATCATCACTGATCTTTTTTGAACTGAGATGTGTCTCGCCTTTTATTGTAATTTTTTTGCTCGTAAATCGGCCGAGTTTTATTGATCTGAGTCAATACCAGGTTAGACGAAAACGAACGCAATTTTTTCGGACTTGTGCATTAAATGCCCTCGGATTACTTACCTCCGGAATCCCTCAGAACAGAGCCCCTTCGACAAAATTTTCCATTTTTGATTGTGTACGCTTCAAATTAGTATTTGGTAGGAAATACTGGAACATTAGATAAAAGAAAAATCTAAAAGATCCTGATTTCGATATTTCAGAATACTTTTCAAAAAAGTTTAGAAAGAGAGAATAACTGATGTTTCGAAGATTTTGCTCTACTTTCGTTTTCGATTGTCATTTACTTGCCTGGTCTCCCTGGAACTTCTTTTTGGCTAGTAATTTCAGGGTTTTTTGGATGTCGTTGGCCAGGGCGTCCCACTGTTTTTCCGCTTCCGCCTTTTTCTTTGGGTCAGGTGACTCGTAGTCCGGAAGAACTTGCGGAACTTTCTGGAACATGCAAAGAAGCTTAGAGTAATCTAATTTTGAACACAAAATGGTCAGTTTAACGTGCTAGGGTTGCTTCTAACTTTTTAAAGTAAAATAATCGTAGTACTGTTTTTTACGTTTTTTTAAACTGGATACAACAATTTTACTGAACAATTAAAAGTGAAGTAATTAGTTGCACCCCCAATTTTTATAGTCTCATTCAGTCTTGAGAACATATGGCGCTCTAAAAGTTTTCAAAATGCACATGCAGCAATTGAGAACAAGGATAGCCGGTTACTATGCAAAGAATTTTCCGACCATTGTTTTAACAAAATACAGGAGAAAATTTTTTAGTCTCTTTTTTTTCTGCGTGGTGTGATAAAAGATCTGAACGAAAAACTAGAGTTTAGGCATATTCAACGGTTGTAGTAAAATAAACAAACTGGCAAAATAAGCATATCTAGTAGTTTTTTTTTCTACAATTTTTGAAGAAAAACGACTAGAAAAAAATCAAAAAAATTAGTGTAGTTTCTGAATTTTGGAAGTTTTTGATTCCAAACAGGCGTTAAAAAATTTTAAAAAACTTTACTGAGGTGAAACTAAACTTTCACATCTTAAATGAAGCTATTTTAAGCTATTAAAATTGGCTACTTTAAGCCTGCTCGCTCGCTTTAGTCGCTCGAATTAAGACTAAAAATCAACAATTTTAAACCTGTTTTTTTTTGCGATAAATTTTCGAAACATTTCTAGCTGTCGTTCGAATCACGACTGAAAGGGCTTCAGCATGATATATTATTCAACCCATTCCGATCAATATTTGAGAAACTTGATTTTGCGTGGGAAAAAGAAAAACTAAAACACATCATCCGAGTACAACGATACTCCCTAATTTTCAAATAGTCGCAATGCGAGAGAAAAACTCCTCGCCAAAACTGCAAAATAATTGTAGCATAAACTAAAATCCCCGCAAAAAATGGCAGTAAAATTGTTCATTTACGGAACACAGAAATTGAAGTTTTTTAAACCGTTAAAATAAACAAAGATATACTTCACATTTTTCCGTTTTCTGTGTAACAAAGTTCATGGCTGATATAATGACACATGATAAAAAAGAGCATTAAAAAGGATGTAATTAAACAAAAAATTAAGCAAAAAAATTATATATGTTGTTTTCAATGCGTTGTCCGATCATTAAAACGAATCTCGCCATAGAGGTGTTCGGGGTGACCAACAAACGCTGTAAACAGCACAAGGGGTTAGCTAAGCCAGCTGTAATTATGATGAAAAGTCACTGATTTAGTGCTAAATCAGAGCTAGTTTCTGCAGCGCTGAATCAGCGCTAACTTATGTTCGTTTATGCGCTAATTTATTCTGAAAATTGGTGAGTTAACACAAACTACTCATTGATTTATTCCTAAAATAGCAAAAGCAACAGTAAAATTTTTCTTTTTTTCCGTTTTCTGAAGAGAGTGATGGAATATTTGCGCTCGGGGTGTTATTTTTTCTAGACGAATTTCATTTTTTAACAAGCAATTTCTGACGGAACTTTTTAATATCATTTGAAAGATACTGTTGTCCTGAGCTCAAATTTATATAGGCATTTTACCTGAGATCGTTTTTCGTAAAAATATGGGTTTTAATGATATGGGACGGAGATTTAATAAGTATAAGAAATCATTCCAAGTTGGACTGAGGCCCGCTCTTTGGTCTATTTAAAACTTTGCTAAATGCAAAATACATCAATTTGTACTTTAAATAGCGTGTGGGCTGATCATTTTCCAAAATAACATCAAAAAAATGTTCTTTAATTTTTCAGTTTTTCGAAAATTTCATAATTGATTTCATTTTAAATTACTTCATAGAAATTAAAGTGCACTCGGAACTTTCAAGGCTTTGCCCTGATACGAGCAGTCTTGTTTCATTTTCGTGACAAGGCGCCTTCTTGGATGTAGTCTGCCAGTCGACCTCATTAGCATAGTTTCGATTTGTTAACCTCATTAGCATAGTTTCGATTTGTCATCCAGCTTTGTGCAGACTCCAAATTTTGCCGCAAAAATCATGAATATTCTGTGAATGAAACTCACAATCGAATTTGAATACTACCGTTAACCGCGGAAAAATTCCCGGGGTCAGATAGATTACTCGAATTTATTGGTTGTCAGCTTTTGGCTTTTTTATTTAGGAAGTTATTTCTGATCATGTCCTTGAAACTGTGGAGACTTTGATAATCCGGCCCGTTGATCATTCCGCTTAAACCTTTTCTACCTACCTAAAATACGTAGCTTTAAAGCGAAAGCTTTTCTTTTCAAAATTCAACTTCCAGGTGTTATTTGCAGGGCTACATGGAACCCCGATCATCTCTCGGGCGAGTTTTGTTTGAATGGGCAGACAGACAATGCCTTGAAAACAACATATTTCGGTTTTTGGCCTTGGTCTTTAAGCTTTTTCATTCATCAAATGTCAATATATCAGCCACAAATCTCGTTTCAGAGAAAATGGGAAAACGTGAAGCAAATCTTTATTCATTTTATCGGCTGTAAACAAAGAAAAAAATACAATTTCTGTGTTTCGTGACTGTGCAGTTTGTTTTCTTTTTGCCTAGGATTAAGTTTACACTGCAGGCCGTTTGTTTTATTTGGCAACCATTTTGTGTTCGAATTTGAGTTTTCTCAAGCCGCTCATTTGTAAAAAGTTTAGAACGCCTCTTGGGTTAATTACACAAAACGAAAAAAAAAGAATAAATTTTTATTTTTCATCGGTTGAAAATTAAAAGTTAAATCTGTGACTGTAGCATCTGATTTTAGCTGCGAAAAACGTTCTTAAAGAGTGGCCGGGAAAAAAATACAGTCTACAGTATCTTTCCATAAAACAGTTTCGGAACAAAAACATCTTTCATTTGACCAAAATTGTTATTTTTAGCATCCAGAATGCATTATTTTGCATGAGGAAAGTTTGCATAAACTGTCCTCATGCAAAAATGTTCGTTCAGTTCTGGTGGAAATCGTTCACGAGGTTATTTTAGAGGGTATTGTTCACATGCTCCTAGATAAATGGTAATTTGAAGTGCACCTGTGGTATGTACATTCCACTACCCCTCTCGAGATTGTTCTCGTCCAGTTTGTAGAGAGTGGCGACAGAGGAGAAGTCCACTCCGCTGTTCCTGGCCGCTGACTCCAAACTCATGTAGTCGAAGCGTGGGATCTCAGTCCTGATCGGGTCGAAGCCATACTTGTCGCACAGGAACACCTGTGCGCCACAGAGAAATTAAGTCCCTTACTCCCCTCAAGGAGTGAACAATCTCTCTCCTAAATCTTTTTAGGGAGGACACTGTCCAGTTGGTCAAAAGCATTCATTTCCAGCCAATAAGAATTCAGTATTTTGCGTGCTGGCTTTTTGCTTAAATTTGCCGTTTAATTTGGTAAAATGATTGAAAATTTTTTCAAATGGGCTGCGCCTCTGCCTAAATAACTTCAAAAATGGTAATTGCTGACTCGATGGAGCTTCGTAAATATTCCCCCTAAGGTACCTAGTAACTAACATCCACCTGTTCAATGAAAGAAAACAACGGTTAAGCACATATGAGTTTTTATCCTTTTGCAACGATTTCCTTCCATTCACAATAGGGGGTACGGGAGGGGAGGGGTAACATGACTGCGAGACCGGTGGTTTGTAAGTCACTGACCACGAAGTTGGGTCCGGCCGAGTACTGGATACAGTTGCGGATCTCCCTGAGACAGAGCTTCTCGGTGGAGTGGTCTGAGCGGGAGTTGTCTTTGATGCCCCAACGCATGTCCACCAGCTGGAACTCCAACTTCCTAGCCTCACAGAAGGCACGCAAGTGGGGGTACAGCTCCTTCAGCACAATGTCACGCTCCAATTTGGTGTCTGAACAAACCAAGGTATCCCAAGTCCATCAATCTTTAATATCTTTCCAAAAACTGTGAAGAATCTTGGTTGAATCTTGAACAAACTCTTGGGTGTCTAGGCAAGTTCTTGCCAAAAAATCTTGGAAGATATCAAAGGTTCTTCAAGAAAATTCAAGGATATTATTTTTATTTAGATTTGGAGAGCGGTGGTGGCATGGCTAAGTCTCCGCCGCTGAACCGAACGGTCCAGAAAGCAACCAGCCCAGAAAGCAACCGCAACCAGCCCAGAAAGCAACCGCAACATAGCAAATAGTTCTTAACAAGGCGTGCAGGAGCGGTTTTCTGTATTAGCTGTACAGCTCATATGATGGTTATTTCCTTTCGCGGATTAACTTTCTTAAATAATTTCTCACTTTAAATATACATTTTTTCAGCCAAAAAATTGAGTTCAAATGAATAGGTTTTGTTATTACAAGCCGAGATAATACACAAAACCAATGAACAGCAACTCACAGCCACAAACTATAGTTTCTTAAAGAAAATGACCTTTTAGCTCTTTTTGAAATTTTTCGATAGAGGAATCGGATTGTTTACCGCGCTTTCTCTCCTCGAAATAAACACAATGAGGGTAAACACTCAACTTGTATTAGAAATTAATTCCATTAATTCCATCAATACTTGTATTAAGTCTTAATTAATTCCAAGCATTTTTTTCTAAAAATCTTCTAATAAGTAATGAAAAGGACCCATTTTAACATTAAGAAAGGATCTAAATTAAAACAATGACTGCAAAAACGCAGATTCTAAATTTATTAATGGAACAAATCACAGAATAAGAACTTACCTGTGAAAGTTGAACTGAAAAAAATTCGGACAATTCTAGAATTAAACTTGGGCAGATTTTCCAGTTTTCCCTCCAAAATGGCCCGATCTTCTGTAGAATAAGAAATCGGCATTTAGCTAACATAAACTCTTCAACTAACTGTACTTCTAAGAAAAATAAATTGCAAAACCACGTTGCTTTCTGTTTTTGTCAATGAAAAATAGTTTCAAATTGACATTATACCATCAAGTAAGCAGCGCGTGTTTTAGTAACAGATCTCAAGTCTATTAGCTATTATTGATACTTCTTCATAGTCTCTGTCAAGACAAAACTGCAAACACAATCAAGCGTACTACGCTTTTCACTATCAGCTAATCGTGATTGTTTATGAATAAGAAAAACAAAATACCGTGGTTGTTATCAGCTTTTCGAACAAAATAAACAAAAAATAGAAATGACTCAATTTGGAAACAATTTAGCTTTTCGTCTAAATTTCGAATAGCATAACCATTATTCAGCACAGGCGCAGATCTAGGATTTTCTCGAGGGTGTGACTTTTTACCAATTGAAAAATTTCTAAAATTTTGAAAAGTTTTCTTATGTTTTTTTTGATCGACCCTATTGATTTTCTGATTTTGCCCAAATCACTGCAGACAGATCTTGTCTTTCAAAAATTCAAAATCAGTTAAGCTTAAAAGACCCCAAAGGATAGTTTTTGGGCTTTTTGTTAGGTTTGAATTAAAATATTGCGTTTATTCGGAGCGTGCTCCTGCTGTATTAAAAGCACCGAAGAAAAATTTTTAGAAACAGTTTTATGTTGGTCTACTGGAAACAGGTTTCGCAAACATTTTTTAGAAAAGAACGTCCGCCTCTATCCCCATTTCTCCGCAGCGCAGTTTTAACTGCGAGCTCCTAATTTTTCCGACTGTCGTTGAAAGTTTATGATTCAGTTTTTCAAAAAACGGTGAAATAAAAATTCCAGAAGGAAAAATATTGCGTCTAATAACGCATTAACATATCAATTGGATCTTTAAAACTTGCCATTATTGTTCTCATTTTTGTAACAAAAGTAACGGAATATTTGTGCTCGGGGTGGTGTTTTTTCTACAGAAAAATTTCGACTCTTTAATTAGCCATTTTCTCGGAGTTTTTTCATAACATTCAAAAGGCATTGTTGCCTTCAGCTTAAATTTGTTACGTTATGGGTGTTTAAAGATTGCCAATTCGAGACAATTAACGCGCGATAAATTTCGCACTTTTATCGCGTAAGCGGAGATTTAATCTGTCTTAGTAATCGTTTCAAATTGGTTGAAAAAAGCTTAATTGCCATAACTGATTTGTTACTAGAAGCAAAAAGCTATCACTTTGATCTTTATATGTCGTGTGGGGAGATGGTTTTCACGAAAAATCTCAAATTGAAAAAAAAAAATAGTTATGTTTTATTACACATAAGTTTTTTCATGTTATTACTGCTCCATATACCTTAAAATGCAGTCAGAAAATCAAGAGCGTTGCCCTGATACGAGCAGTCTGGTTTAATTTGTAAAGATTTCTCAGCCGTGTTATTCCGCTGCTTACGCAATGTGTCAATAAAAGTCATACATATTGTGCGAATTAATAGACCCAAATCAGCCGTGAGTTATCCGACAATTTGGCAAAATGTCGGAATTGATTAAATGCGAGTTTAATAGAAAACTAAAATTTAATTAAGTCAAACCGGCCTTAAAAAATTCTAAATTCATTTTTTTAATGTAGTTTTAATTTTCAGCTCGGTGTATCAATATCTTTCAAAGTACCAACCTTTGTCAAAAGTTTCTAATTAAAAAGTCAGTACATTTTGAAGAGAAAACCAAACTGAGCACAAATATTCTATCTTTCGTTCAAAAATTGGACAAGTAAGTTACAAAGAGTGTAGGTAAAATGCCAAAACTGTATTTACTATGCGATTACATTTATTTAGTTAAATATTTTTTATTTTGTAAAACACTTTGACGACCTTTGTTAAGCCCGCATTTTCGAGAGACACGGTGTAGCCACTTTTTTTAAAAATATTGCGTTGACCTAAGTTAGAAGAAAAACTAATTTCTTTTCAAAACCATAAACTGTTTACATTTTCAGGCCCATTTTTTTAGGCAGATCTTTTTGGAAATTTAATGAAGCAAGTTTGCATTTTGTCAAAACTAGAGCTTTTATATTTTAAAAAAGTGACAAAAGAAATGGCGGTTTTATAAAACTACAGAAAAAAATTTGTTTTGAGAGAATTCCGTAAGCACGATTAAGGCAAAAATGACTGTCACAAAAAAAATCATTTACGGAATAAACGGAAACAATTGGCAGCTAGAATTGCAAAGTATACTACAGAGTCTTTTAGATGCCAATTTATACAAGTTAAGCCGTTTGCTGCGCAAAATTTGAAATTCTTACATTTTGTTTTTACTTTTTTAATTAATTGTGAGCAGTACGCGGGACAGGCACTTAGTTATTTGTTTAAATTTTCCATGTTTTCTTCAGGTTAAGAAAAGTTTGCGCTCTGAATTTTCAATTTCGCTTAAGATGTAAAGATGTGGGGTTCTGTCATTTTCTAGTCTAAACCAAAGCTTGTTCTTCTCTCTAAATTTTGATTTGTACATTCAAATGACTGTACTGTTTGCCAAAATTACAAAATGATCAAATAGACGTAAAGCTTCAATAGATTTGCTTCGTTTTCCTCCGTCAACTTATCATGTTGCTCTGATAATTTGTGCATAACAGTTGAGCGTACAAGGCACATTAAATTAAGACATGATTTAGGACACTAGCCGAACTTCATTTGTTTTTAAAAATTTCAGACGCTTAAGTATACAAAGAAGTTTTATTATGTTTGGTATTTTTGCTGCTAAAACTCAGGCAATTGGACGTATTTTGGATTTAGTTTTGCATTTACTGCAGGTCAGATGAGTTGCTGAAAGATGTACGTTATATGCGGTTGAGTGCGATATCAGCACTGAGAAATAATTTTAACAAAACTTGTGAGACGGTTGAAAACAAAACTTTAAAAATGTTTGCGGTTAACTAAATTTCATGGAGGTGCATGAAATTGTCGCAATAAAAGAATGTTTTGTCTATTCTAAATGATAAATTTAAGTAAATTAGCCTTTTGTGAAAGCTAATGTGAACATCCCAGAACAATGACAAAGATAAACTGTGGCGAAAATTTTTTCTTTTTGTCCGAAAAAACAACTATATTTTTAATTTTTAATTTTTCTGTTTTCTACAACGGCTGATTATTTTAAAAACGTGAAACGTGACTCCCTAAATGAAACTGATTTTCACAAATTCGTCTGAACGATAATCATCCTGACAACAATAGCAACTTTTATATAACACTGGAGTTATATCTTTCGAAAATTTTTTCCGCAATGATAACTGCTGCTGTTGAAAAGCTGTGAATTAATTCCCTTATAGCGAAATTAGTTAATTCTTTTTGAGACAAACCTAAAGGCATCAAGTTGCAAATTTTTTAGTGAAGAAAAATCTTCTAACACCGTTACAAACTCCTTCTTGCCGAGCTGCTTCTACAGAATTTTAAAAAATGTGCTAAGTGATATTTGAAAAATCGCTCTCCTTGTTCTGGTGGTGCGTGCTTCATGTGCGACGGCTCTTTGCGCCGATAACTGCGGGGAGATCTCATGCACAACTCGTGTATCTGGAAAGCCAAACGAGCAAAAAGTATCCGCTCTGTTGACTTAAGTACTTAGTATTCCCGCATTTAAGAAAAGTAAGGAAAATAGCTAGTGTTGGTTTCCATTTTACAAAATTTTAGCTTTCTAAACTAGCTCTTTTTACGAGCTTGGCGAATGGATAATTAAAGAAAACTATCATCAAGTGATTAATAAAGCTAAGCCGCACTGCGATAGCGCAAAGCCACCATCATCGGATGCTACTCAGACACAGGTGTCCACATCGTCGCGTCGGTCATCGGTCTCGCAGTCAAGAAAAACCGGTCAACGAAATCAAAATTCACCTCAATCTCACCAAGCGAACGTCCGAGCGAACATTCACTATAGTTAATTGGCCTTGAAAAAATTCAGAGGCAAAACGAAGCGTCATTCTCGTTTCAAAAAAGCGCCGGTTGGGAATCATAAGACAAGCATTAGTATATTGACCAAATAGAATGCATCAACTATCCAATTTTTTCTCCAGCATATGGAAATTAATAGCATACAGGCAAAAAATACTACAGTGAAACAATTCCCCGAAAGGCGTAAATTTGATTTTTGGAAAATGTTGTGTAACGTCAACCAGTAATGGTTGTCGTGATAAAAATCCAGAAAAAAATTTCCAAAAATTAGAACTTTTCGGTTTCAGAAAAATTTGGTAGCAAAAATTGACTTGAAAAATACAGGAAAACTATACAGGAAAAAAATTGTTAGAGAAAATTTTGTAACATTGATCGAGGCAAGAAACGGCTGTCACAAAAAGAAGCAAAAGAGTAATTGGAAAAAATTGCAACCAGAATTTTGAAGTTTACTACAAAGGTTCCAACATGCTACTCTAAATAGGATAAGGCGTTTGCTGAGCAGATAGGACTGAACGCTCACACTGCAGTTTTTCTTACAAAAATATTAATATGCAAAGTGTAAAATTTGCAATTTGTGAAATTTAAACAGTTTTTTTTACAGTTGTTCTAATAATTTGTTCATTATTGTTGAGCCTTCAAGACAAGCTACAAAAAATTGTTTTTAGGACATAAGCCGGATTTCATTTTTTTGTTTTCAGACAGACACTTAATTATCCACAGAAGTTTGATGATATTTGCGTTTGTGCTGCTCAAATCTATGCGATTGGACAATTTTTGGATTAAGTTTTGTATTTACTGCAGACCAAATCAGTTGCCCAAAAACGTACCTTATATACGGTTGAGTGCGTTATCATTATTGTGACAAATTTTTAATAAAACTTGTGAGACGGTTAAAAATAAAATATTTTGAATGTTTTTATGCGAATTATCTGAGCAAACGAGGAAAATTCTCTAAAAAAAATTTATTTTTCCATTACAATTGATACAATTAAATAGATCTATAGTAAATTGCTTTTGAGCCTTTTTATTAAAAGTTAAATTCAAAACGCGGCATAACACCAATGCTAAATTGTGAGAAAAATGTGAGAAAAAGACAACTCACTCTTAATATTTTTCATCTTTTTTTTTCAACCGCTGATAGTTTTCCCTTGATAATTTCTAACTTCCTAACTAAAACTAATTTCTATAATTTTGTCTGAACGCTAATCATTCTGACAGTTCTTAAGTTTTATATCAC